CTTTGTGAAATTAAGAGTTCTTGGCATTCTCCAGGCTTCTATTGGAGAGAAAGGCACACTTTTTAAAAGCCGTTATTTTTCTGGTGAAGCTCTATGGCCATGTGTCATAGAAGACAGCAGTTTCAACTAACTGAATTTGAGAATCACCCAAAGTGCAATGTCGGGACACAGGTTGGGCATAAAGAAATTGCAACAGATCATAAACAAGGGATTATGCAAGAAGAGCAGTATAAAGAAAGTCATTAGAAAAGTGTTTGACTAAAAAAAGATGACCGTGGCATGTAAACAGAGGGAGGGATAACTGGTAAATAAAACATATTCTTCATTGGTATGCATAGAATGTCAAGAGATCATGAAGAAGGCTTCTGGCATTATGAATTGACAACTTGTGAATAGATTTATTCATGGGTATAGAAGCACAGAAATTACACAGGGATGGGCCACAATTTGCACAGTTGGAAGATATATCAGTGCTGGTCTATTGGAATATTAGAGTATGTCAAATAAGAAAGTGGTTTAGAAAATAAGCGTTTCTCCCTCACTCCCAATTCCTTGTTTCATTAACTTTTACTTGTGGTATCTAATTTAAAGAAATCATGTTAATTCTCTTATCACTTCCCCTTAGTCTTCTAAAGTCAGTTCTTCATGATCTTTTTTCTTGGAATCTGTCCTAAATTTCCTAGGCTTAAAAAAGCTCAAACATTTTACCAATTCATTTTGTCTTTATACCACATTCATTTCTTTCCCCAGTCCAAAGATTGAACCTTCCCTTATGAACCATCCCATCACAATTTAGTGAAAGGACCACTCTGTTAATTTTACAATATTCCGACCTGATAGTGTCTGACATCTGTGTCATGAAGAGGGAGATAAGTTCCTTTATTTTTTGTCCTGGACCTTTACTGGTTTTTCATTTCATCAAAGCGCAGCATCCTTTTTAGCTGTCTTTTTATTTGTGTTTTTATAGTTACTGTTTATGCTCTTTTGATTGTGCTTATTTTGCCCTTTATCAGTTCATATATTTTCCAGTGTTTATTTGAATCCTTCATTTGTCATTTCTTTTTGCAAAATAGTATTGTTATATTAATATCTCAGCTTTTTTCAGTCATTCCTCAATCAGTGGGTATTCATCTTGTGCTTCCTTAGAATGCTACTGTGAATATTTTGACATATATTGGGCCTTCACTTCTTTCTTCCTTGGTAGTATATGCCCTGTAATTACATTACTGGGTTGAAGTATATAGAAAACCTAAAAAAGTCCTCTTCACCCCCTCAAAATTCCAAATTTAAATCCTAAATGATTGGATCACTTCATGAATCCACCAGCTATGCCTCTTTTCCCATAGGACTGTTAACATTGACTTTCCATAGCAATTATCATGATGTGAGATAAAATTTTAGGATTCTTTTAATTTGTATTTCTTTCATTTTTTATTTTTTGAGTATGTTTTCATATGGTCATTAATAGTTTGAAATACTTTTGAAAACTTTGTCTTTTGACCATGTATTTATTGGAGAATAGTATTTGCGTGATATATATATATATATATATATATATATGTGATATATATATATGCGTGTGTATACATAACTCTCTCTCTATATATAACTACATATAAAAGTTATTTTGGTTATTAGACTTCGGGTGATATTTGTAGAATTTTCCCTACTCTGTTGTTTCTCTTTTACTTTTATTAGTGCAACAACTTTAAAATTTTATTTAGTCATAATGGTCTTTCTTTTTATCTTCTATGTTTATATTCCTTTTGAGCTATAATTTGTTGGTCTAATCTCATTTTTGCCAGATTGCTTTCCAGTTTTCCCAGTTCTAATAGAAAAAGTGGTTCTTTCTTGAGTAATTTATGTTCTTAGATTTATCATGTGCCCATCCAGTGCTTGCATTTATTCCTTATCTAGTCTGTTCAAGTGAATCATTTTTCTTTTTTAAAAACTGATACCAAATAGTTTTATAATATTGTTTGAATATAACATAACATAGCTTCATAATTCATTTTGAATGTAATATAATATAGTTTGAAGTCTGATAATGCTATTGAAGCACCCTTCATTTCTGTATTTTCTCAAAATTTCCATCGAGATTCCAGACCTTTTGTTCTTCCAAATCAATTTTGTTATTATTTTGTTTAGTTCTGTCAGTTTTGATTGGTACAGCATGAAATCTGAAAATTTAGGTAGATTTTTCATTTTTAACATTGGAATGTCCCAACTATATTTTGTAATAATGTTCACATAAATCTTGCATGTGCCATTATGGGCTAATTCATATTTCATTTTATAGTCATTTTGAGTGAATTTTCTCACTTCTTCCTTTTTTGTTAGTGCTGCATAGAAATTCAGATTATTTTTGTGGCTTTATTTTGCATCACAATACTTTACTGGAGTGATTAACATAGAAATAGGGATTATTCCATCCTTTGTATCACCAGTGTCTAGCACTGTGCCTGGTACCTAGTTACCCAATTAATGCTTCCTGAATGTTTTGGATAATTGTCTCAGTTGTATATGATTCTCTGGGGTTTTCTAAGTATACTGGGATGACAAGCAAATAGGGATGGCATTTCTTCTTTGCTTTTGTTCATCTTGTATTTCTCTAAGGAGTGCTTTGTAATTAAATTTATACAAGTATTGCGTCTGCTTTGGTAGATAAATCTCCTGAATATTTTATACATTTTGTAATTATTTTGAATAGGATTTCCCTTTCTATTGTTTCCTCTTGGATCTTATTATTATATAGAAATGCTGTTGATTTTTGTGGGTAAACTTTGTAGCCAGCTTTCCTGAGCCTATTGTCTCAGTTACTTTTTTTGCCAATCCACTAGCATTTTCCAAGTAAATTGTCATCAGGTCTTTACATCTCTCCATCTCTCTTCCCTTTCTCTTTCTCTCCTCTACACTTCTCTCTTGTTCCTGTTCTTTTCCTCGCTTCTCTCCCCCTCCTCTTCTCCTTTTGTCTTCCAAACCTAGATCTCTTTCTTTTCTCATCTGCAAGAAGCCTTTTCTAGTCTTTAATATTAGTGCGTTTCCTCAGAGATTATCTCTGGAGGCAGCTAGGTGGTACAGTAGATAGAGCCCTGGGCCTAGTGTCAGGAAGATCTTAGTTCAAATATAGTCTCAAACATTCACTGGCTGTGTGACCCTTAGCCTCTTAGTCACTTAAGCTTTGTTTGCTTCAGTTTCCTTATTGGTAAAGTATTATTTACCTCCTAGGGTTGTGATAAGGATTAAAAGAAATATTTATGTAAGTGCTTAGCAAAGTTACTGGTACATAGTAGGTATCATATAAAAATGCTAGTATTCATTCATTAATTCATTCATTCATTCTCCAACTCTGAGGCTTGCGTTGTTGACTGCCCCCTTTCCTATTTCCTCGGCTTCTGGATGGCTTTTTGTTCAGTTCAAGTTCAGTTCAAGGATAGAAGAAATAACTTTCTATAGCTTATTGGATATCTTGATAATTATTTTTCCTGGTACAATTTTCAGATTTTTCCTGACATAGGGAATTTGATCTGTGTGCCTTGGTGTAGGCCATCATTTTCACCAGAAGTTTTTGATTGACTATTAAGTATTAATGTTGAGGATAAGTTAGTTCCAAGGTATTTGCATTTTTACAACTATGTTGATAGAATGAGAAGATTCCCTAAGTTAGGAGTATTAATTCTCAGTAGAATAATTTGCTCTGTCTTTCATATCACTTTAGAAAAAGGCAATTTCAGGAAGTAATATAATATTGTAGCTCTGGGTGAACAGTGGTATGTAAAATTACCTGGATTTTTGAAAATACATTTGTCATTTTAATGTTTGCTTTATTTTAAAAAATAAATTATTAAATTTTTATAAAAATGTTCAATACAAATTTATAAATAAATTTATGATATTTAATTTATAAATATAAATATAATTAAATATTATGAAGTATTGATTTTTTAAATAATGTCTCAAATTTAAATAATGTCTCAAATAATGTCTCAAATTAAATAATGTCTCAAAAAAGGTTAAATTACCTTGTAGATTGAGAGATCAATGATACCTTAACATTCATGAGGTATAAATTCCTAGAAGCATCTTTCTGATGAATTTTTAATGTTGAATGTCTCTTGTTTTTTTACATCATTAGTTTCTGAAGTGTACCCCTTCTTTCCCTAAACCATTCTTTATAACAAGTAGTATTTTTTTAAACACAAAAAAGGGGGGAAAATCTACATAACCAACTAGTACTTTGATAAAACCTGAAAACACATGCAAGGTACAGCTCTTGTAAACCTCCCATTTTCAGAAGGGAATGGGTTGGGAGTATCCCCTTATATTTCCCCTTTTGAGTCATACTTGTTCTTTGTAATTTTGCTGTGTTCACTTTTTTGGGTTTGAGTGTTCTTTCCATTAGAGTCATTGTGTATGTTTTCATGGCTCTGCTTACTTCATTGTGCATCAGTTCATGTGCATCTTTCTTTGCTTCTCTGTATTCATTACAATCATCATTTTTTCCAGCACAGTAATATTCCATGACATTTATGTATAATTTTTCAGCCTTTCTCCAGTCAACGATCATCTATTTTGTTTCAAGTTCTTTGCTTTCACAAACAGTGCTGCTATAAATATTTTGGTATATATGAGACTTTTTTATCAGTGGCTTCCTTATGGTATAAGTCCAATAATGGAATCTCAAAAAGTATGGACATTTAGTTACTTTGTTTACATAGTTCTAATAGTTCATAGTGCTTTCTAAAAATAGTTGTATCAAAACAAAACAAAAAGAAAAATGGTTGTATCAATCCGTAGCTCCACTAACAATGTAGTAGTATGTACAACTTCTCCAACATTGACTATTTAAAAAATTTTTATCATTTCTGAAGAATTTTTGGTGAGCTTTTAGACTCAGTGGATACAAATGAGATTTTGAAAGATGCCTTTTGCTTTCTTAATTAACCTGTCCATCACTGGGCTCTCCACGTATACTAAATTTTAGATTTCTTTCATTGCAGGCCAAGATTACTCCTCCACAGCATGGTCATCTGGTACTGAGTCTTTGTGGCAGGCCACAACTGTTCCATCAAGCACTCGTAGTAGCCACACCCGACGACATAGTATCGCTTCTGACAGTGGGGACACTGGCATTGGAACCTCCTGTTCTGACAGTGTGGAAGGTGAGTTAAATTGATGAACCGTAAGAAATTATTAGACTTAATGATGATTATGACCTGAGAAAATGAAAAGAGTATCTGTTCCATCATTTCTAATTGATATATTGGTAAATACTAATAGAATATTAATTTGCAAGAGTAATTTTTAATGATCCTTTATCTCATATATAATTACTTTGGCTTGTAAGATGAAGTCAGTTTTTCTGCTATATTTTTGTTTATGTTCTTTTCTTAGAAACATTTGATTTAAAACATTTGATAAAACATTTAAAACATTAGTTTTCTTTATTCTGATTATCATAATAATATCCTTTGACAGATCTTACGAAACAGCACGTTAAATTTAATGTTGTATTAAATGTATGCAATAGAAATGTGAGGAGTTTTTCTAGAATTCAAGATGGGTAATGCAACTTTCTTAGCACATTGTGATTGTTTTGACAGAATCTGTTGTTTAACCTAGTGTGCCATTGCTGGGCTAGCAATTACATAGAGTCCATAATATTATGGACTCAATGTATATTTTTGTAAATTTGCCAGGCATTCTAAAACATAAATATGGAAAGAAGAGAAATATGTACAAGGCATAGTACATGTGGTTCTATACAAAGATCAGGAATCAGTAAATCAAGAGAGCGGCAGTCTGAGTTAGATTTAAGAAATCCAGCATCCTAGTTTTGTTGGACCAAAATTTTTGAAAATGAATTAAAGTCACGCGTGGTGGCACCTGCCAGTAATCCCTGCTATTGAGGATGCTGACGCTGGCTGATCTCTTGAGCTTGGAAGGTCTGAGCTGCAATGGTCTAGGTTGATCCAGTATCTGCATTAAATTTAACAATAAATAATGAACCCCTAGACATCTCCCTCCCTCCAGCCAAACCATGTTCTACCAAGTTGCCAAAGAATGGACAGACCAGCCCAGGTTGGAAACAGGGCAGGTCAAGGAACCTGTGTCAGTCACAGTGGGACTGGGATCATGAGTTTAGCCCCTGCCCCTCTAACCTCAGTGATTTAGAGCCACTCTTTTTTTTGTGGGGAGGGAGGAAGGAAGAAAAGATGAGAAAAAATGGTTTTTATTAAGTGATGGTCTTTATAAAAAAAAATCTACCCTTTTCTGTTCTCTTTAAATTTTAACTCTGATAGTTGTAGATTTAAAGACTAGTAATTATACTTACTAGCATTCATACAGTGCTTTAAGACTCACAAAATAGTTTCATCCTTTTTTTTTTTTGGGTGAGGCAGCTGGGGTTAAGTGACTTGCCCAGAGTCACATAGCTTGTGTGTGTTATGTGTCTGAGGTCTGATTTGAACTCAGGTCCTCCTGACCCCAGGGCCTGTGCTCTATCCACTGCGCCACCCAGCTGCCCCATAAATACATTTTTAACTCAACAAACACCAAAAAAAAGCATTTTTCCCTTTTTTGTATCACTGTTACCACATGCTTCCTCTCTATTTCTATTCAAAAAAATAGAAAAAAAAGTCACTTCTAAGATATAAACATAGTCAAAGTGAATTTGCACAGTGGCTATTTCCAAAAATGTGTGTCCCTTTCCACACCTTCTATCACTTTTGTGTAAGGAAGTGAGTCTCAAATGCGAGATGCGCAAATTTAGAGAATCCATCCCAAATGTTCACATGGACTATTTATTTGTGCCTGACCTGTGGCAAAGCATTCTGAGCTCATATTGGTCTGATCAGCCACAGTTGGACACACTGTAATTTGACTCTAGCATCGAGAATGAAGGACAACAACCAGGAAGTGAGTGATAGGCTTCACTGTGGGTCTTGTAGAGATGTGTTATGTCAATTAAAGTTTTTCATAGTTGTTTTTCATGTAGAAATTGTTTCCTGGTCCTGCTTACTTCACTCTTAGGATTCTTTGGAATCATCTTTTGTTATTTCTTACAGTGGAATAATATTCTCTTACATTCATAATGGGCAGCTATGTGGCACAGTGGATAGAGTCCTGGGCCAGGAGTCAGGAGTATCTAAGTTCAAATGTGGCCGTAGACACTTAGTAGCTGTGTGACCATGTGTAAATCACTTAACTTCTGTCTTCTGTTGCTTCCTCATCTGTAAAATGGGGATATTAATAACATTTTCCTCCCAGGGTTGTTGTGAGGATCAAATGAAATAGATAATGATTGTAAAGGGCTTAACACAATTCTTGGCACATAGTAAGAACTATATAAGTGTTCGTTGTTGTTATTATTAACTTACTATAATCTTTTAAAGTAGTTTTCCAACTTACAGTCACTCTTTTACTTTCCAGTTTTTCCCCCTTTTCTAATCTTTTTCTTCTTTTAGTACCCGTTTGGGCATCAGGAAGTTTGTTTGGTTTGTGACTATTCTTTCCCCTTTTTAATCTGATGTATTTCTACAGTAAACTCTGGGTATGTTTGTTAGAGGCAGCTAGCTGGTACAGTGGATAGTACATTTGAACTGGAGTAGGAAGGCCCGAGTTAAAATTTGGTATCAGATGCTTTGTGACCGTGGGCAAGTCATTGGAACTCTGTCTGCCTTAGGCAGACAGAAATAGGGATGCTAATAGCACCTATGTCTCAGGATTATTGTGAGGATCAAGTGAGATAATAGTTGTTAAAGTCCTTGGCAAATCTAAAGTGTTCTATACTGTGCTAGCACTTACTGTTATATGTATTCAGTCCACATTTGTCCAGTCAAGATAAAAATGAGGTTCACTTAATTATCCTATCTAAAAACCCTGTCCCTTTCTTGATGGTTCTTTACTCTTTTCACATAACTGTATCATGAGAAATAGCAAGTTGTATTCCTCTTTTCTTCTTCCTACCGTTGTATATTCCTTCTTCCCTCCATTCTCTTTCCAGTTTTAAAACTCAGACATGAACCAGTCCACTCTTACATCCTTTGTGTTTCTTACTTAACACTTGGGGCGTGGGGGTGAGAAAGGATCAACTTGCATAAAAATATTTATAGCAGTTCTTTTTGTGATGGCAAAGAATTGGAAGTTGAAAGAATGCCCCATTAATTGAGAAATAGCTGAACAAATTGTCGTATATGATTATAATGGAATACTAACTGTGCTGTAAGAAATTATGAGCAGGCAGATTTCAGAAAAGGCTGGAAAGACTTATATGAACTGATGCACAGTGAAGTGAGCAGAACCAGGAGAACGTTGTACACAGTAGCAGCAATATTGTGTGATGATCAACTGTGAGTGACTTACCTATTCTCAGCAAAGCAAAGATCCAAGACAGTTCTTAAGGACTCATGATGAAAAATGCTATCCACCACCAGAGAAAGAACTGATGGAGTCTGAATGCATATCAAAGCATCCTATTTTTCACTTTCTGTATTTTTCTTTTGGTGTTTTTTTTCCCCCATTGGGTCTGTGTCTTCTTTTACAATATAACTCATATGGTAACTCGTTTTGCATGATTGAACATACATTATCTATAACAAATTGATTACTGTCTCAAGGAGGGGGGAAGTGAGAGGAGAGAGAAAATTTGGAACTTAGAATTTTTAAAAAAAGAATGATAAAATTGTCTTTACATGTAACTGGGGAAAAATAAAATATTATTTTTTTTAAAACTGCCCTATAGGCAGTTGGAGCTTTGGAACTAGAGTGTAGGAGAGAATCTAGGGTTGAATATATAGATTTAGATCTACTATCCATAGAAAGGATATTTAAAGCAGTTGGCACAGTGAGCTCACCAAGTAAAGAAATGTAGAGAGAAAATAGAAGAAGGCTCAAAATAGGTCTTGGGAATGCACATGGTTTAGGAAGTATAATATGGGTGATAAACCAACAGATAAGGCTGAGGAATAGTAAGAGGGAAAGTGACAGGGGAGAGGTCGTCCTTCCTCAGTGTAGGAAACTCAGCATGTTTTTAGGTAGGAGAGAATGAACCAGTAGATAGGAAGAAATTAAAAATTAGAGAGGGAGAGAAGGAAGATAATATTGGAGTAATCTGCAGGAGAAGACAGAAGGAGTTAAGATCCAAGGGTATTGGTTGATCTTGGTGAGGAAAAGGACTACCTTTTCATCAGAGACTGGAAGAGATTGTGAAGACGGATATCAAGGGATTCTGAGATGAGGGAGAAGAGGGTGTTTATGGTAAAATATCCTCATGAGGTGAACTCAGTTGAGAAGGGTATTGGAAGGGTTGCTTTTGAAGGTAAGAAGAGAAGTTTTGGAACAGTCACTGTGGAGTGTGGGATATAAAATCGATTAGGGAAGAGTAAAAACATTGCTTTGCTAAAGGGAGGTCCAGGAGAGATTAGATAACCTAAGTTTATAATGGACTAAGTCATCATGGTTTTGTGACTTATTTTAGCTTTGCTCTGCAACATGTTAATAAAAGTGTAGAAAGTAAAAAGTGAAAATAATTCACAGTTGGAATTTGGCACAGTGTGAGTGACCATAAGACATAGCATTGAGGGAATGGGGAATAAGAGTAACTATAAAGTTAAATTGGTTCAGCAGATGGTCTGGATAGGGAAAAAAAGGAGAATGTAGCCAGAGAGGTGATGATAGTCTGGGTAAGTGCTTTTTTTTTTTTTTTTTTTGTTGTTGTTGTTGTTGTTAGGCAGTGGGGTTAAGTGCCTTGCCCAGGGTCACATAGCTAGTAAGTGTTATGTGTCTGAGGTCCAATTTGAACTCAGGTCCTCCTGAATCCAGGGCTGGTGCTCTATCCACTGTGCTACCTACCTGCCCCTGAGTAAGTGCTGAAGGTTGGAGAAATTGGAGGTCAGGGAGAGTATAAAAAATAGGTTTGGGGAGAAGGAGGTAGAGATGGAATGAAAGGAAAAGTAGATAATGGGATTTCAGAGTTCTTGTTCCTAGAAGGGGAATACTTTTAGGTGAGGCAGAATCAAGGATATGACCATCCTTGTTTTGGGCTGAGGTGGATTGGAGGAGTAGTAATATTTCATAGTCATAGTAGGCGTCATCATTGTTGTTATTCATGGGAGCTGAGGAATTGGAATTTTGGTCCACCTTTGTAATGGTCACATTTTTT